GTTACCATGTGACCCAGATGTGCTGCTGTAAGTTATATATCCAAGGGAAATGAAAACACACATCTTAAATTTTTTTACAGAATCGCATATCACAGCATTCATTATTCATTATAGGCAAAAAGTAGACACTATCCAAATGTCTACTGATGAATGAATAGATAAAATATGTTACCTATGCAATGGAATGCTATTCAACAAGAAAAATTAGTGATGTTCTGATACATGCTACAATGTGGGTGAGCCTTGAAAACTAAGTGAAAGAATCCAGTTACTAAAAAACAAGAATTATATGAATCAACTATATGAAATATTTAAAATAGGCAGATCTATAGAGTTGGAAAGCTAATTAATAGTACCTAGTGATGGTTGGTGGGAAATGGGAAGTGACTGCTAACAGATTCAAGAGTTCTTTGGTGGTGGAATGTGGTGAAAATGTTCTAAAATTTATTGTGGCGATGTTTCTGCGACTGTGAAGATAGTAAAATCACTGAATTTTGTACTTTAAATGGATGAATTGTATGACACATGAATTATATCTCAATAATATATTTTTTAAATCTGGACTCAGAATGCTCCCCTGCCTTGGTGCTGTCATAGATACACTGCTTTTGCATAATCCTTACCATTGCTGAGGTGTTAGAGGGGAAATAAATGTGCTTGCTCAGTCCATTCTGCTAATCCTGAAGCTCCAGAGGGATTATTCTTCAAAAGTACTGTCCTAGAAAATACAGGGCATACAGGAAGTTATGGGTCTACATACATCACACAAGAGATAATCCATCTAAAAAAAGAAAAACTGGTTTGGCTTGTGGTTCATCTAAAGTCAAAAGTGAGAGAGTCTGTCTTCCCAGCTCTTTGCTCCTTAGCATAGGAAACAAGGTTGGAATATTTCTGTTTAAAAAGTAATAAATACTTAAAAACAAAAGAGGAAGATATGGTGGATAATAGGTGTATTGTCCTTACAAGAGATCTCAGTGAAGGGAGCTTGGACTCTTCCAGGAATGGTTTAGAGGGGGTCACTCCTGGACCCTTGACCATGTGGATCTGTGAAAAGAGCCTCCCATTCCCCACAATAACCAGAGCACTTTCAAATCCAATGTCTCCTCAGCATCTTTGCATCATCTATATTAGCACCTGATAACAACAGGATTTCTGATCTGAGACCCTAGAAGTACAGCTACTCAGACCTTTGTTCCACCTTTACATGCTGCCTGAATGCCTCTGTGATCCATGAACAACTGACCATCTAATGTGCTTGAAAATGCACGGTACCATGGATTCATCATCTTACAAAACATCTCCTCCTATATTTGGACAGCATTGTTAACCAGAAAGTCTTTCCTTAGACCAAAGCAACCATGGGGGATGTAGCTAAATAGTAGAGAGCTTGACCACCATGCGTAAGGTCCTGGGTTCAATCCTTGGTGCAGAAAAAAAAAAAAAAAAAAAAAAAAAAAAAAAAACTAAAAAATAAGAAAATATCCAGAAACTGAAGCAAATTCATTTTTTGGTTTGTTTGTTTGTTTTTTTTTTCTGAAGTGTTCACTATGTGGTCCTAGTCAGACTTGCTTTTACTTAGAATAGGCTTGCATGATCCTATCAATCAGTTTTCCTGAAAGGAATCATTAATAAATATCAATATATACCCTCTAAGCTAGACACAAGTATTTCTCAGTAAATCCTGGCGTAATAATGTTTCAAGAAACTCACTGCCATCCTAGCTATTCTCAAACTCTCTAGTAACAAGGAATGAATTTCCTTTTCCATAAAGTAGGGGTAGGTGGTAATGCCTGTGTTCCTGAGCTACTAAGTTGAGTTAATGTATGAGAGTGTTTTTACAATTTAAAACACTTTGTAAATATAAAAACACTGTTGACAAAGAGCTGTTTCCTAGGAGGCAGGTTGGCAAAACATATTAGAAACTTGCATCTCAAAATGTGGTCTAAGGACACACCTTGAATCACCACAAAACTTGTCAAAAATAATCTCAGTCCCACCCCTATCTTAAAAATCCACCTGCATCCAAGTGCTTCCTATGCACATTAAACTTGGAGGAGGAGTGCTGTAGACACAAAACTCTGCAAACACTTCCACTCAGCAATTCCGGTTTTGCACATTTATTCAGAGAAAATGATTAGGTAAGTATAGAGGAGATATATAAAAAGCACAACATGCTTTTGTAAGAGCAAAAACTCAAAAGCAGTTAAAGGTCAACTAATAGAAAATTGACCAGGTGCTCACTTCTGTCTCACTTGGAAGTATACCTGCATTCTCCCAGGAAGCCTGTTGGTACAAGATGTACCCAAGTACCATTTACCAGCCACTGCTAACTCTGTAGAGTAAGTTTGCCAGCTAGTGCAGTGCCAAAAAGATGCCTGTTTCAACTGTACACACACATGTCAATTTTATTTGACACAAAATAGTATTAGTGCGTCCACATACAAGTATTATACCTGGGGAAGAACCAGATCATCTGCCTCTGTCATTTCCCAAGGGTTCAATCAAAATTTTTTCTAGCATACCTATGTGTTTGTCCTTCTGTTTATGATGTTCAGGTGAAATTATTACAGGGCTTCTATAATATCATAACCAACTAGAGAGGTGATGGAGAATGCATAATGGAAGAATCATCATCATTATTATTACTAATGGGCTATTTGCAAAATCTGTAACCCAACTGTGCCTTAGCTGAGAAATGATTTCAGTCCTTTTGAGCTTAGTCACTGACTGCCACCTTTGTGGGTCTATCACTCCTGTCATAGAATGACTTTATTTATTGGACAGAGAAGGCTTCCATTATGATCAAATTCACTTTGGCAAATTTCAGAGGAAATTATGTTTTTTGAACATGTTAACGTAATAAAGTTCCCTTCATCCCAACACTCCACAGCTTCCTTTCCTGCTTTATTTTCCTCCTCAGCACTAATCACCACCTACTGCTTATTTCATTTTACCGGTTTACTGGTTAGTAGTCTGGCTCCCTCCCTAGCAATCAAAGTCTACAGGACAGGGAGCTTTACTCATTGTTCACTACTGGATCTGCATCTGAAGCACTTAGACAATGCCTAGTATCTAGGAATTGTTTGATGTTTATTTAGTACATTTATGTGAAACATCTCAGGGTCCTGAGAGTTACTGGTCAGTCCTTTACCTTCACCACTTTGACTATATCCAAGATATGCAAGAGGCTTTTAGCTTCCTTATTTAGCCTCCTAATAAATGTTGATGCTAATACCAGGTTATGAATAAAGAAAAGTTATTCAGATATTTATATTATATATATTATATATCAAGTCAAGGAGGACAGTGAATTGGAAGATCTTAGAAGTGCCAGTAGGTTCATCCAAGCCAGCATACATGCAAGCAGAGACGTCAAGACAAGAAATGGATCTGGAGCTAGGAGTGGTGGCACAGGCCATTACTACTAGTACTCAGGAGACAGAGGCAGGCATATCAAACCTCACCAGCCTGGTCTACTTAGTGAGTTCCAGATAAGCTAGGGCTTTAGAGAGACTGTCTCATTAAAAAAAGTAAAAGAAACGGATCTGGGCTGGGCTGAAAAAAATGTAACCCCAAGACCCAGAAGTCATGAAGCCTAAGAGAGTCAGTCCAGGAAAAGAATATAAATTCCATGAAGTTAGAGACTGACTATTCATCTAAGCAATGTTAGGCCAGAAATAATGTCTAGCACACAAAAATGAATCTTTGTTAGATGGTCTACTAGTACCATCAACTAAATGGAATTCATACAACCATTAAAAATGCTCTTATAGGGCCTGGCAAGATGGCTCAGCAGTTAAGAGCTCTGGCTGCTCTTGCAAAGGATCTGGGTTCAGTTCCCAGCACCCACATGATGGCTAACAACCATCCACAACTCCAGTTCCAGGGGATCCAACACCTTCTTCTGACCTCTGCAGGCATTGTATGACATGGGTGCACTTACATCCATGCATTTAATACACTCATGCACATAAAAATAAAACTAATTTAAAATTGCTCTTCTACATATAGACATTGTTAGAATGGAATGAAAACCAAGTTGGAAATTATACTTAGAATGTGATTAGTTGTGGTTGTGTATGTGTGTTATGAATAAACAGGAGAAAGAGTGTTTGGGGAGATGACTCAGTCAAAGTGGTTATTGCACAAGTATAAAAACCTAAGTTCAGATCCCCAGCACGCACATAAAAAGTCAGACACAAGGTATGCCTACAGTTCATGGCCAGGAAAGCAGAGACAGGATCTTGATGGTTCACTGGACAACTAGTCTGGCTAAATCGATGAACTCCAGGTTCACTGAGAGACTCTGTCTCAAAAATAAGGTGGAGAATGATCAAGGAAGATACCTGATGTTGACATGCAGCCTCTACCTACATGCACACATACATGCATGTGCACACAATACACACACACATACATGAACACATACCTACATGTACACACAAAAAAACATGTCAAACTATTAACAGTAGGTACAGGTATCGCTGGGTGGTGAAGGTAGGGATGCTTTTAACTTCTTTTTATCTATTCTTTTCAATTTATTACATCCATTATAAAAATAAT